TCTTGCAGAAAAGAGAGATTAAAATAGTTCATACCTTAGGCCTCACATGTAGCATCACCATCATGGGGGATGATGACTCTAGTAGACTCTAGCAGATGGACTCCACCAGAACACTAGCACACTCCAGTAGAACACAACATGAAGACAGCTAAGCAACCCTGAGACTTTACAGTGTTAACATTCATCGTAATAGATAACAGAAAACATGGAGGCCAAGGCCAGCTTGCCTTACTTTAGCTTCTAGATAGATATAAGTATCCCAAGTTAGTGTCTTTTATGATGACCACCAAGCATCTCTCCCTCTCTATCTAAACTTTAATTTTGATATTTTAAGCAGACCCCACGGGATAAAGGACCATCAAGTAACCAGAGTGTGGGAGCTGGGAGGGCTTCAGAGACTCATCCCAGACCCCACAGCCCACTCATGGCAGCCCAGAAACTAGCACCCAGGAATCCTACTTCTGTTTCCTTTCACCATTTCCTCTTAGTCTTCTTGTCTCTGAATCTTGAAAGTATTGATTTCAGTAACATTTCCTTTACTTGTTTGAGATGTCATGGTGTCATGGAATATACAATGAGCAAAGAATTTGAAGACCTTAATTCAAGCCTCAGTTCTGCCAGTTACGAATTGAGTTATCTTTGACAAGTCAGTTTTCTTATCAGAGTCACAATGTTCACATCTATTTAATGGGAATAATTATAGTTGCACTTCTTATATTTCTAGGATTGTTACAAGGTTTAATGAGATGTGTGTGAGAGCACACAGTAATCTGCATTATGCTATGCAAATGTAAGTGCTATTATTTAATCCCAAATTTCCATATATCTTCTATCATATCCCTCAACCTGTAATTTGCGTTTTTCAGGGTCCCTATCTCAATCCTCTGCCTCCATTCTTTCAGGAGACTATGACTCAGTAATAATCCTTTAAGCCTAGCCTTTGACTAGGCTTTAGTCATGGGAGGAAAAAAAATAAAAGTTTTAGTTAGTAAAATTATACCAGTGTTTGAGAGAAATAGGATTACCTAGCAGAAAATTATGTCAAGCACTTTCCAGAACTACTTTTTTCTTTTTTGCAATGATCTTAAACGTTTAAGAGCCATATAAAAATCAGCTAAGTGTAACATCTTAATATCACCCTCTATGTGGGTCTGAGTCATCAGGTACAGTCATTTGCCAACCCCAAAAAATTCCAGGTGAAAATCAGATTACCTTAGAGAATACTGGAAACCATAATTATAAACATGTATAGCTTGATCTGCCCCTGTTTGTTTTTTTTGGTGGAGTGGAAAAGAAAAGTTTTAGATGGACCCAAGTTTAGGTACATGGCTTCTCAATTTACTGTCTGTGTGGCCTTGGGCAAATGACTTATTATCTCTAAACAATGATACTTTTTTTTTCTGAAAACACAATGAGGTCATTGGGTAAGATTTAGGGTTATTGATTGTGGTATTTGCGTTAATGTATATCTTTTGGTTTTATGAGACAGAGACCACACACATAGCCAAAACTAAGAGGTTCTATTATAAAGACGTGTGCAGTAACTACAACAAAACTCTTGGAAATCAGAGAGCAGGAGGCACGCCCGGGATGGGCCTCACAATGTGTAGAGATTGGTTCCTCCCATTCTTGGTCACAACCGTGAAAACTATAAAGCCTGACCCTGGTGAAGGCTTTTGGGTTGACTCTACTGCTCTTCAAGTTTTTTCTTTTCTTTAATGCTTCCACCTACTGGGTTTTCACTTAGCTTCCCAAAGCACAAGTCAACTAGGTCTCTCAAGCTCAATTCTATCTTTCGACATGCTTTCTGATAACAAGTTGTTCACTTGCTGCCTGTTTCCCAATTCATAGTTTTTGAGCGAACATCCAGTTCCTTTATTTCATGCTAAGGAATGGTTTCGGCTTAGATTATGAATGGCCACCCCTCCAACATTGGGTCCACCACTGGTGTAATCATCTGTCAAAGAGATAAGCTACAAACACGGCGCCTTGGGCGTGCTTCTTCAGCAAGGATGGTGGGTAAAGTTTCCACAAAGAAGTCGATGTTATGTGTAATGGCTCAGATTCTAGAATTTGCTTGAATTCTAATCCTGACTTTGACAGTTTCTGAAGATGTGACCTTAAACAAGTTACTTAAGCTTGCTGAGTCTCAGGTCCCTCATCTGAAAAACGGGTATGATAGTTCATACCTCATAGGAGTGTGGTTGAGTTATAAATAACAAAAGTAAAGCACTTAGCACAGTCCCTGCCACAAATCAAACCCTCACTAACTGCTCACTATATCCATATCAGGAGGTGGTGTGGGCGGGCACCATGAGAAGGTAGGCCTACAGAAAGGTACTCCGTCAACAATTGTTCACCTCTCCTTTGTGCTGAGATAAACAACACTGACTCCTTCCCTGTCCCCCAGGATATAACTGCTTCAATTTTTTTTCCTGAAGATGGGTGGCATTCTCCATGACCCTGATGGGATCACTGCATACCCCAGTGAGCAAATGGGATGATACAGGATTTCACAGTCAATTTTAGTCCTTCTCACTGGAATTGGGTAGCTGGCTCTCAGTTCACCATCACCGTGCCCATTTCATTCTGGGTGGAGATTGAAGGCAGCCCTATTGAACAGGGTAATGAGTGTGCATGATGATGCCTTCACCTGGGGGCTGGCATGTTTACCAAACTGTCAAGTAACTTCTTCTGGCATTTCTCCATCAGGGTCTGGGGAAATCATATATTTTCACACAAAGGAAAAACACAGTGTGCTGAGATGGAGTGTTTGATTTGGGACATAGAAATTCCTTTTAAGTGATGTTTATTTGGTGGTGTCGGGAAATGGGCTATTTCACAGAAATGAAGCTTATAGACAGGTGAAGGTTTCCCATTTCAGTTCTGAAACTATTTTTAACCCTTGTTTAATGGAGTCTTACTAAATTGTATTACATACTTCTGTCTTCTTAAAAGAGGTTGCAAATTTCAAGGCTAGTGTTTATTGAGTACTTACTATGTATGTGGCACCACATTTACATGATTAACTTTCATTAATTTTCCCATAACCCTGTGAGATAGGTATTACCATAACCTCCATTTTACAGAAGAGGACATTGAGGCTTAGAGAGGTTAACTAACTTACCCAAGGTTATACAGATAGAAGGTGATGGAGTTGGGATTTGTGCCCAGGACTCCCCAAGCCCTTTAGAAACTGGCCATGTTATTGGAGAACACTTTGGTTACTAAATGATCCTAATGGCTATTAACCTCCAAAGTTTGACCTTTGGGAATCCACACACACATTTCAGAAATATGTCCATTTCTCTGAGCATCCCTTGGCCACTTTTCAAAAGTAGTATGCAAACTGGCAGCACAGACTTTTGAATATTCAGGAATATTCCTTCATTGAGCAGATGTTCCTTGAGTACCCACTATGTTACTGTGCCAGGCATCCTGGAGGCAAAGGAATAGGAGGCACACAGCTGGTTTCAAGGAGGGCACACACTAGAGGCACTCCAGTGGGACAACATGGGAAACTTGCCTGCTTTGTGAGCAGGAAACCCTTGAGAAGATGGTGATTTTTGAACGTACCTGTCAAGGCAATTGTCCTCCTCATTAATACCCGCTCTCTATGGATCAAACTGATGAGTTAAGACCAGGTGGAATTAGATGCTTCCTTGGCTCTAAAGAGGCCAAGAAAGAAATAGGTACGCTGTGTTTAAGAGCTAGTTCAAGTTATCTTGCTTGGAAAAGAAGCTGTGGTCAGATGTTAATGGGCGTTGGGCCAGACCAAGGAGTTTGGTTTCTATAACCCGACTCTTTCTTAGATGGTGGTTTATAAAACCAGGAAGTCTATTAGAACCACATCTGGCGGAAAAAATACATGTTTAGCGGGATGTGTTTTCTCATTTAGTTAGTAAGTGGGTGTTAAATGCAACTCCCAATTGTAGCTCTTAAAAATATATACAGTTTAGACCTAGCTGGTTTGTTCAGTGGATAGAGCCTCGGCCTGCGGACTGAAGAGTCCCGGGTTCAATTCCGGTCAAGGGTACATGCCTGGGTTGTGGGCTCAGTCCCCAGTAGGGGGCATGCAGGAGGCAGCTGATCAATGATTCTCTCTCATCATTGATGTTTCTATCTCTCTCTCCCTCTCTCTTCCTCTCTGAAATCAATAAAATTACATTAAAAATGTATATATATAGTTTAGAGCATCATTACAATCAAGTATACGGTTTTCCAAGGTGATGACTTTGACATACTTTAACGATAATGTTCTTATCTTAAAAGTAATATGTTGATAGAAAATATGGAATAACTTCTCTCATCCAGAGATATCTAAAGATTTTGAAACCAGCCCTCCATTATTCCTACATCCCATGGTCCATCCCTGTGATCTCTCTTCTTCGAGTCACCCTCCTTCATCTGGACATAATGTCGTCTCTTGATGACTCATATTCACCATTATGGGTGCTGTTTATGGCACCTCGCTGATGTAAGTTCGTGTGATAGTTGAAGTGTGTGGTTCTTTTGAGACCTTTTAAATTAGGTCTTTTTTCTCCTAGTTTGGCTAATGGCCATTATGTCTGGCTGCTTTCCATGTGTCTTCCTATAACTTCTTCCTAGTGTATTTTCTACCCATGATTAAGTGTTAGAATGGCTAATGACCTGGCTAGTCAATATGTATTTCTAAAGTAAGAGTAAGCTGGCTCTGAGAGAGGGTAAAGGGACTTTCTTTTGAATTAGCGTGTAAATTCTGCAACGGCTATTTTAACTGCCAGGAAAGCATTACTTGTCTATAGAGATAATTGAGTTTTGCTTTATTGGCGACATTGAGCTAAGTGATGTTACTATTGGGCACTCTTGTCCAGAAGGGAAAAAAAAGGAGAAAGAAAGGAGAGAGGAATAGGGGGAAGGAGTAAGGGATGGGTAGGGAAGGGAAAAGAAGAAAAGCCATGCCAGTGCTTGCTTTGGGATCTCATTTTAAATTTCTCTCTTTTCACATTTGCTGATTACAGTGGTTTAAACTTCATTGACTTGATGGTGCGACAAGGGAATATTGACAACCCTCCCAAGACTCCTCTGGTGCCAGGTTTTGAGTGTTCGGGGATTGTGGAAGCTCTGGGGGACAGCGTGAAAGGATACGAGGTAACATTCTGACTTTTGACTGAAAGAGTAATATTAATCTGGAATCCACTGAGATAATGAAAGATTATGCAAAAATGCTTGACATAATCAATCATGTGCACTGTTATTTATGACTTATTGGTTGGTTTTATTAACAATGTTTATAAATGATAGAACTTTCCAAAGGTCTCATGTACCATCTTGGTGCTCCTGGCAACAGTCTGGTGACCAGAGAAAATCTTGTCATTCCCTCTATTCATACTATACAGTTATTAAATAAGAGTATTTGGCCTTGGTTTAACTATACCCCCCTCCTCCCACCCATGGATCACACTTTCCCATCACTTGTGGCTCAAAAATCAATTATAAAACACAAAAGTTGGGGAGAAATAGCCTCTATGTTTTTATGTTTTGATTCCGTTAACTATCTACTTAACTGATACATTTAAGTGATCATTTATAATCATTATTTCAGACAGTGGGGATATGGCATTTTGGGGTGAAATTTTTAAAAAATTTATTTTTATTGATTTCAGAGAGGAAGGGAGAAGGAGAGAGAGGGAGAAACATCAATGATGAGAATCAACGATCGGCTGCCTCCTGCACACCCTACACTGGAGATCGAGCCCATGACCTCCTGGTTCATAGGTTGACACTCAACCACTGAACCACGCTGGCTGGGTTTGGGGTGAAATTTTAAAGCCACAGGGTAGCAGTACCTGACAGTGAGATGGAGTTGGCCATGGGTTGATTGATTGGGAGTAGAGCTGTGGATAATGAGGGTTATTAAATCATTCTGACTACTTCCATACATGTTCAAAATTTTCCATAATAAAAAATTTAAACAGTGAAAAGATATAGGACTCTTTCTCCCATTATAATGCAAATAAACTAGAATCTGGTCTATAAAATCTGAAAACTGTGGGCAAATCAATCACACAAAATTGCAGTAGTTTGGAGTCAGAAAAACCAATGGAAATTAGGTACAAGAGCTCTCTCTTATAACTAAGTGCTTCCCCAGAGAGACATGAATGCAGCTAGCATCTGAGAATCCACTATAACCAGAAACACGAGCAAGTTATCTCTTTTCAGCCTCACCACAGCCCTGCGAAGTAAAGATTGTTACTGTCTCCTTAGAGATGAGGTTCAGCAGGGAGAGACATGAATGCAGCTAGCATCTGAGAATCCACTAAACCAGAAACACGAGCAAGTTATCTTTTTTCAGCCTCACCACAGCCCTGTGAAGTAAAGATTGTTACTATCTCCTTAGAGATGAGGTTCAGCAGAGTTTATTAATTTTCTGTGGAGTCCAAAAGGTGGCACATAGTAGTAGAACCTGGATTCGGGTCACCAGAACCTTTTCACTCCCCCATGATCTTTGCCCGTGCTCACAACCTGCAAATGCTGCAATACTAAGTGCAGGAAGATACATCCTATAAAATGCAATGCCAAAATGCCCTTGGAGTTGACTTGGATCAGTCTCAGTGCATCTGAGCCTCAGTATACTCTGAAAGTATCAATATGCTCCAAGTTCATTATGATAAATGTCTAGAAATATCTTCTCACCCTCGTTCTTTTTGTCCATGGTTTTCAGATAATATAGCAGGAAAGTGTTGAGCAAGAAGTATGTGTGCTTTTTTTTTCTTGTATATGACTTTACATTTTCTGTTCCCAGATAAGCAATATAACAGAGGCAGCAGCATCTCTCCCCGAAATTGCTGCATATAAGAAATATTATCTGCTCCTCACTCCTCCATAGGGTCCCAAAGGAAAAGATCATACTACTAACTCTATCAGTTCTGAGCACTGGATAAATAACCCATTATTTTAGAAGATAACAACAGATAGGGATGTTGTTGACTTTGGTGCAGAGGGAGGACTTACTCTGCTTGATTATATATATTTTCCCTTCAATATATGACCTTTCTTCCGCTAGTTAGCTCTGGTGTGCATATTGTCCAACCTACCCTTCACCCCCACTTCCCTCCAGTAACTTTCAGCGACACAAATAAAAGACACCACCTACAGGTTTCCAGTCAGGGGATAATTTGGGAGAAAGCCAATACTAAAATTCCTTCTATAATTTTGATTTAAGATTTTCAATCACATTAGAGATGAATTCCATGCAGCAGCACACTAATAGCTCTCCTGGTTGATCGATTGCAACAGAGGCTTGAAAAGTTGTTGCCAGAGGCACAGCAGTAAAGGAATAATTCGGTCTCCATCACCCAGGACTATTTTTTCTTAACAGAATCCAATAATGAAATGAATTGGATTTTTTTTTAAGTTGCCTACCTCTGGACTCTGGGACTGGGGCTGGTCTGATGGCTTAGCCACTTTTGCCATTTGATAATGAAATGGAAAAGAGGGAGGCAGTCGGCCCTGCTCTGGTGGCTGTGACCCTCACTGTCAAGGTGGTTGAAATACTCTTCATTCCACTCCATGTTGACTGGAGGCCATTAGCCACTCTGAGGTACTGAGTCTGTATCTTTGAGTTTTCATGAATCTGTGCAGAAGAGGAAGCCAGTGTTAGACCACAGTGATCCTCTGGCCCAAGTCGTTGCATTTAAGGTGATATTCCCAACATTCGTCATTTGGTCTTCCACATTCTCAGGGATTAAGACACTCATTGCCAGTGGGACAGCCGCTCCTTTCCATCAGCTTCATAATTAGACAGCTACTCCTTCTCCTTCCGTTTCATAAAGTTTACTGGGTCTATATTTAGCTTTTGATCATTAAACAGTGAATTCCATGAGATAAAGAGCCATCTGTTCTTTGTAAGTCAACACTGATTGCTCTTTCCTCATTTTACATGTATACTGCCTAGTGCATTGCATGCATTTTATGTTACTTAATCTTCATAAGAACCCTTTCTAATATTAAACCCATTTGAGAGCTGAGGAAACTGAGATTTAAAGAGTTAAACTAACATTCCCAGACTTGTAGGATCAACTGTTGGACACCCTTATATAACTTTATGTCTTCTTTGTAGCCCTTATCTCAGGTGTAATGAATTATTTTATCTGCAGTCAGCCTTCCTAGATTCAAATCCTGGTCCAGATGCTCTCTAGTTACATGACCTTGGGCATATATTTTAATCTGTCTTTGCATCAATTTAAATGTCTAAAATCTACAATCATTAATCTGTAATATGGGATTCTTATAGACCCCATCTCATAGGAGCCTTTTGCAGTTTGTTGAGTAGGGATAGAAGAGAAATGCTGAGCTACAAAGAAATTAAAACAGCAGTAGAATCCATTATAAATATATATACAACAACACACATATAGGAAAGCCATTAATTTATTGAGAATTTATTAGGACCACAGCAACTTGAGTATTGCATTTGAAAGTCATAGTACAAGCCACTAACATAAATAGCAGAATGGCTCGATTTAGCTAGCACTTTGCAGCTCCTACAAGCTATTAGTATTGGTTCACTTATTTGTTTTTTGCTTTAGTAATGATAAGGTCTGAAAAAAATTTAGCATACCTTCATAACCGCTTTAACGGGATGATTGCTCTTTTTCTTTTTTTTTTTTTGCATGGTGTTTGGCTATTCATAACCGCTTTAACGGGATGATTGCTCTTTTTCTTTCTTTTTTTTTTGCATGGTGTTTGGCTATGCAGCAAACTACTGTTAAATAAAACACAGTACTCAGTCATGCCTTTATAGAGGTTTTGTACAGATTATATGAGTTAAAACATGCGATGTTTTTAGGACAACGCCTGCCATATAATATATGTCCAATAAATGGTAGTTGTTCTCACACCCGATAGCATATTCCTGTTTGCCTCTGAGCCTGGTTGCTCTTGTTAAGTCTCCTCCACTTAATTCACATGGCTCTACTGATGCACCGCATTCCCGTGCACAGCGATCGGTAACCCATTGCTAACCTTTGATGCAAAGGCCAGAATGTACTAGTCTGTCAGAGCATCCATGTGGGTTGGCAGAGAACAAACAAGAGTCGATTTTACTCCTAGCCTTGGCCCATTAACCTTTCTTGTGGCTCAGTTTGTCTCAGCTCCAAAGCAGAGAGGTTAGAGGAGAGGTTGAGTTAGTAACATGACCTGACACTAACATTCCATGGTGTGCGATGTGCTCCACACTGTATATTTATGCTTGAGAAGAGGGGTAAAGAACCTGGTCTCCATGGTCCCTGGGGAATGTTTTATAGATGGGCTTCAAAGCATCCAAAAATGCCTTGAAATTGGGAGGCAGGTGATGGTGTGCTGTTTTTTTCTGGGAAGGAATCTATAATTTTCATCATATTATTGAGTGTTTGAGAAACACCTCAAAAAGGTTAAGAAACCTCCACTAACCCTGTGCTTCCCTATGCCCAGATCGGGGACCGTGTCATGGCATTTGTCAATTACAACGCCTGGGCAGAGGTGGTCTGCACGCCCGTGGAGTTTGTCTACAAGATCCCCGACGACATGAGCTTCTCTGAGGCTGCTGCTTTCCCCATGAACTTCGTCACAGCCTACATGATGCTGTTTGAAGTCGCCAACCTCCGAGAAGGGATGTCTGTGCTCGTGCACTCGGCTGGTGGCGGCGTGGTAAGTTGGCTGCTTGTGATGCCTCTTCATCAAGGCCATGCTGGTGAAAGTGGAGTGACACCCAAGTGACAGTGAGATTCCTATGTGAGCTATTTCCAGGAGTAGGGATGACCTCTGGTGAAGCTCACATGGATGGAAGAGATCGCATAGATGATTGATTGTGTTGTGGACAGGGTGAGCCTCAGAGATGGTTTCTCTGGAGTTTGGGAAGGTACCCAAGATGGCATGTTAGGACTCAGTGGGTCTCAGAGATGGTTTCTGTAAGCAGCACTCTCAGTCTTGGTATGATGATGAGCTGTTTCTGTCAATCATTGTGAGATGCCTCACGGTCCTGTACTACTATTATTTGAAATGCCAAAATGGTGGATGACGTATTCTTTCAATACATTGCCATGAATTCAGGATTGTTCCCATATTAATGACATCCTTATTCATTTGTGTTCTGATGTATTTTCTTGAGTGGGAGAGAGGGAGACTGAGATAGTACTAGCACAATGGGAATCTCACATAAACCTACTAGTAAGTACACCCATGAGAGTAGTTGCACATGCGAATGTCATCTGTCAGGCATGTCTTTGACAAGGGGGAAAATAATTGCTGTTCTGGAGTTCAGGGATGACAGAAATTTCTTTCATGGCTTGGATGTGTCTCAGTGACAGCCACTCAGTACATACTGCACGCCTGCCACATGATAAGCCCTATGTTCCCTTCATGGTTTACTGTGGTTGGAGTAGAACTCCAGTCTTTCTGAGAGTGAGAGGTATTACTCATTAATTCAACAAGTATTTGTTGGATACATACTATGTTCTGGACTCTATGGGTGAGAGATTAATAAGAGAAGGTCCTGATATACTATCTAGTAGGATTTGAGAGGTTCTCTGTTGGAGATTCTGTAGTTTGATGAACTCAGAGATGTGAACTCTTATGCTTGGGTCTAACTTGGAGATATTTTCACTGGAGGTCATGCTAACATTGATTTTTTAAAATATTGAGTTTCTACCATTACCAAAACCCTACAATGTATAAAGCATTTTTCCTTTCTGAGAAGATAAGTTCACATACAAAAAACAGGAAGGCAAAGAGATGACACTTGAGGAATGCCTTAAGAGGAATATCTTCAATCACTTTAGCAAATTTGCTAATGGCTTTTGACCATGAATAAAGATATAATAAAAGCTAAACATCCCTTATAAAAGAAATAGATTTCAGTGCCAGCCAGTGTGCAAACAGCAAGCAAGCCATTTAGAATCCTGGCATTTATGATCTCAGTGTGCTCAGCATACAAAGCGCTGGCGACTGTTTTTATATTATCAACATAAGCACCAGTCTTTGCGATGATGCTAAACCCAGTTCTCCTGAGAGTCAGTTTCTAAACATTAGCACTGATGATGTTTCCTTTTGTGTTTTTATATTTTTCATTTAAATGTCCACATTCCTGGAACAAAGAGGCATGTGTCAGGAGCATGTGTCTCACAAAAGAGAAAAAAATCCTGCAAATAAAAGGTTTTTACTATGCCATATTCTGGGCTTTACAGACATTACAATATAATAAGAACTAAAATGTGAAACAGATGAAGCAACTGGGGAAAAGGACAATAAGGGTAGGAAAATAAGTTGTCACACATAATGCGGGCTATGATACAAAGAGGCATGTGTCAGGAGCATGTGTCTCACAAAAGAGAAAAAAATCCTGCAAATAAAAGGTTTTTACTATGCCATATTCTGGGCTTTACAGACATTACAATATAATAAGAACTAAAATGTGAAACAGATGAAGCAACTGGGGAAAAGGACAATAAGGGTAGGAAAATAAGTTGTCACACATAATGTGGGCTATGATGTCCTAAAGCTTTGCTGAAGATGGACAGTAGTCTTGGTACTTAGCTTCCTAATACTGTGTGCAAATAGGGAAAAATGACCAGCGATGTGAATACATAGTATGTATTCAATAGTGTCCACTTGGTGGAAATAAACCAGTTATTACAGAGAATTATAACTAGTACCGGGTTTTGATAACTGGGGAATAATTCTCGGTGGTTTTTCATAAGAAATGTATGCAGAAATGTGATGAACATCCTCAACAAACTGTTACAGTAAATTCTATTATTTCCTTGATTCTTTTTTTTAAGGTGTATCTCTAGTATAGTCCAACAGCATCAAAGTAAAGCAAAATATAGTGAAAGAAAGCAAATATCCTGGGGCCAAAAGGAAGTAGTCTGTCTTGATCTTAGGTCAGTTTAAAGGTGTGGTTGGACTGCCCATCTCAGGTGAGTGGGTCTCCTTGAATAGTGTTTCTTCCTCCGCAAGATTTGATGGGTGATGTGAATCACTGAGTTCAAGGTTACCATTAAAGGAACGACTTCTGGCCAAGTGCACATTTATATATATGAACACTCAACCAAGCGGTGGTGGAGTTGACCCTGTCTTACAAAATCTAAGGAAGCCTAAGGAGAACCAAGACCTTTCCACTGCGCAACTGGTGGGAAAACCAGTGAGTCACCCTCAGGTAGAAATAGATTCCTTCCAACCAGTCACTGCTCTTGTGGTGGAGGATGCTCCCTGGGAGCACTTTTAAAAATATATATATTTTTTATTGATTTCAGAGAGGAAGGGAGAGGGAGAGAGATAGAAACATCAATGATGAGAATCATTGATCAGCTGCCTCTTGCACACCGCCCCCTAAGTATCAAGTCCACAACCCAGGCATGTGCCCTCACTGGGAATCCAACCATAACCTCCTGGTTCATAGGTCAATGCTCAACCACTGAGCCACACCAGCTGGGCCCTGGGAGCACTTTTAATGTATTATCTGTGTTACCCTGGAGGGGAATGGAGATGCTTCCCATCGCTGTTGGACCAATCTGATAAGTGCAGCCACTGGCTGCATGGTTACTGTGACAGGCAGGATAATACCCCTCATTCCCCTCATAGACATCCATGTCTAATCCCTGGCACCTGTGAACATGATACCTTACACGCCAAAAGGAATTTTGCAGATGTGATTAAGGTAAGGACCTTGAGAAGGAGAGATTATCCTGGATTATCCAGATGAGCCCAATGTAAGCACAAGGATCCTTAAAGATGGGAGAGGGAGGCAGGAGGGTCAGAAAGAGGTTTAAAGATGCTACACTGCTAGCTTTGACGATGGAGAAAACACCATGAGCCAAGGGATGTGGGCAGCCTTCAGACACTGGAAGAGACAAGGAAATGGATTCTCCCTCTGGTGCTTTCAGAAGGAACACAGCCCTGCTAACACCTTATTTTAGCCTAGTGAGGCCCATTTTGGACTTCTGGTCTCCGGAACTGTACTATAATGAATCTGTGTGTGTGGAGGGGCGGTGAGGGGATGGTTTGAGCCACTCAAATTGTGGTAATTTATTATAATAGCAATAGGAAATTAATGCAGATATTTCTCTGGGCTGCCTTCCATTTCACTGTGGAGAGCCCACAGAGGCCTGAACAAAAGCAAGTAGCAGAACTAGGATTCATACCCTAATCTGGCTGATTCCCAAGACTAATTCTCTTTCCATTTTATAACCTAAGATGGTGGGAGAACCCAAGTCATTCATTCATGCATTTAACAAATATGTGTTCAACTTCTACCCAGTGCTAACTATAGATTTAATTTAATTTAATTTTATACTGTGGATGAGGATTTTCATTTTTTTTCTTAATTGAACTTGTAGGGGTTACATTGGTTAATAAAATTAAATAGGTTTCAAGTGTACAGTTCTATAATACATCCTCTGTATATTGTATTGTGTGTTCACCACCCAAAGTCTAATCTTTCGTTACCGTTTGTCTCCTGTTTACCCTCTTCTACCTGTCCCCAACCCCCTTTCCCTCTGGTAATTATCCTACTGTTATCTGTATCTATGAGTTGTTGTTTTTTGCTTAATCCCTTTATCTATTTTACCCAGCCCCCAGCTGTCAGTCTGTTCTCTGTATCTATGTTTGCTAGTTTATTTTATAAGTGAAATCATATGGTATTTGTCTTTCTCTGACTGGCTTATTTCACTTAGCATAATATCCCCTAGGTCCATCCATGCTGTCCTGAAGGTAAGATTTCCTTCTTTTTTACAGCTGCATAGTACTGCATTGTGTAAATGTACCACAGCTCTTTTATCTACTCACTAGAGGCCTGCGGGGGATTGGGCGAAACCTGCAGTCTGACATCCCCCAAGGGGTCCCAGAGTGCGAGAAGGCACTCTGCAAAGTTGCTGTGCTCGGCAGCTCCTGCATTGAGCGTCTGCTCCCTGGTGGTCAGTGCGCATCATAGCTACTGGCCGGTGGGCTGGTCACTTAGGTTTTTATATATATAGATGTACTGACGGGTACTTGGGCTGCTTCCAAATCTTGGCTATTATAAATAGGGCTGCAATGAACATAGGGGTGCATATATTCTTTCAAATCAGTGTTTTGGGTTTCTTTGGATATATTTCCAGAAGTGGAATTGCAGGATCATAAAGCAGTTCCATTTTTTATTTTTTGAGGAAGCTCCATACTGCTTTCCACAGTAGCTGCACCAATCTTCATTCCCACCAACAGGGCAGGAGGGTTCCCTTTCTCCACCTCCTCACCAACACTTGTTGTTTGTTGATTTATTGATGGTAGCCATTCTGACAGGTGTGAGGTGATACCTCATTGTGGTTTTAATTTGCATTTCTCTGATGATTAGTGAGGTTGAGCATCTCTTTATATGTCTATTGATCATCTGCATGTCCTCTTTGGAGAAGTGTCTATTCAGGTCCTTTGCCCATTTTTAAATTTGATTGGTGTCTGTTTGTTTGTTTGGTGTTGAGTTGAGTTCTTTATAAGTTTTGGATATTAACCTTTTATCAAATGTATCATTGGCAAATATGTTCTCCCGTTCAGTGAACTGTCTTTTCATTTTGTCGATAGTTTCCTTTGTGGTGCAAAAACTTTTTTAGTTTGATGTAGTCCCATTTGTTGATTTTTTTTCCTTTTATTTCCTTTGCCCGGGGAGATATATCAGAAAA